ACTAAAAGTCAGTCGTCCCAGCACTAGCCTTGTATACTGTTGAGGGCACCCTGGGAATTCCTCTTTTTTAAGAGGTTTTCCTAACCAGGCTTGTTGCCTAGCAGAGGACAAGCTTTTGCGAAAGAATCAAACTGAGCAAGACGACGCAGCTACCCAGAAGTCAGCAGATTGTGAGTATAATCTACCATTTAAACTCAAAAATCTGAGATTAGGGCCTAGCCACTAAACCTAAAAATGTTAGGACACGAACAACAGATCTCGCCGAGAATTACTAGAGCCAGATCCAAGGAACCGGTCCACCCGACCAGAACTATCACGAGGAGCGGCAACATACCGAAAGAGAGCGCCTCTGTGAACACAGGCAAATACCGGCCACGAACGAATAAAACAGCCCTATTGAAGCGACCGTAAAAAGCAAAGTCGCCAAAACCAAGAAACCAGCCTGCCCAGGACAGGATGCGGCAACCGTAGTGAATGAAGCAGCACCTGTGGTCGAGGGTCTTAATAAATCAACGACACCTGTACCAACCCAGACCTATGCACGTAAAGTAGCTGAGGAAAAACAGCAGTCAGCGCCATTAGCTGAAGGAAAACTGCAGTCAGTGCCAGAAAAGACAGCCGCTGTAACCCAAAACACCAGACTGCCTAGCATCCCGGAGGGGATAGAGATAGAGAAACAGGAACCGGCAATTCTCAAAGTAAAGGTCAGGCAAACCATACCAGGTCAGAAAACGATACCGCACACCACAAGGGCGCCAAAAATAACTCCCAAGAATAACCCGACCGAACCGCTACCCAGCATTCCAGAGAGGGGTGAACAGGAGAAACAAAAACCACGAATAGTGAAAATCAAAATCAGACAATTAAGCTATGGTGAACTATCGATACTCAACGACAAGCTAGCCTACAAACATAGACTCCAAATCCTAGAATCAGGGCTAGGGCCCAACTCAGTCGCCAGACACAAAGTGCTTGAAGATCATGTCGCAGTCGATATGAAAACAATGACCGCCAACAGTGAACTAGTAAGATAACTTGAGAATGCAAAAGAACCCGTAAAAATCGCTATGATGCACACGATTGAAGTATCCGTTGAGCTAAAAATAGACACAACAGAAATTGTAATCAAAGGCATACACCCAAAAAAGGACCTAATTAAAACCACCGAGAAGCTGAAAGAAGAGAACAGAAACTTAGAAATCCTTAAGGAGTTGAGAATGACCACGTCGACAGGGGGACCAACATCGCTGCTAAAAGTTACTTTAAAGGGAAAAACAGACCTACGACCCTCTTCCTAGGAGAGCGGGAAATGTATTGGGAAGTCTATATTCCTTCGGTACTCCAGTGCCAGAACTGTCAGAAATTCGGCCACTCCCACGACCAGTGTCGAAACAAGGTAGTCTGCAAATTCTGCAGCAGGAACCACGACCACCGCAACTACCACAAAGCTAATGCCGAAAACAATTACAAAAATAGCAACGCGGAGAGAAGATGCGCTAACTGCAGTGGCAATCACAGCGCTCGGTATAATGGCTGCCTTAAGATAAAAGAGGTTCAATTGGCGCTGCGGGAGTCCAAGCTAGCCAACATACCAATGAAGGTGGCAATGTGGAACCTAACCAGAACCAGGGACCTAACAGAAACCCAATCAGATCTAAGAATACTGAAAGCCGGTCTGTCAGGCACAGCGGGGAACCCACAAACAGGACTCAGAACAGCAAACAATAAACTATCCCCATACCAAAATACTACAGCCCAATCGCTAAGAAATGAGAAAGCGATCTACAAACAGGTAGAAGAACTGAGAACCCGACTAGCGGAAGAAAGGTCTGCAAGACTTAAAGCAGAAAAAATGGCCAAAGAAATAGCGACTAAGATTGAAGAGCTAGTCGAGGAGATCAAGGAGAAATACAAGCATCAGTGGGAAAGATCTGAAACTATGTACGGATCACTCAGGATGGCCAGAACCGAACTAGACAAACTCAAGGCAAAACTAGCGGCCCACACAGATAATAACCAAGGCTGGGGAATAGAGATGGAAAAAAGCTTTAAAGCCAGTCAACAAGAAATCACAGATTCGACCAAAAAGTCAATAGAGAACTACTGCAACGTAGTCCTCCTCAACAGACTCGTAGAGATGACGAAAGAACAAAAAGACGAAAAGACACAACTGAAGAAGAAACCACTGAGCCCAGCACAGAGGAAAGTGAATCTTCCCTGAACAACAGCCAGGCGGGATCCGGCGCTGAGTAATGACCAAACAACCCAAATTAAAAAAATCTTGAAAAGACAAAATGGCAGTAAAAAATTCACAAAGTATAACCCTCGCGGACAGAAATAACCTAGCCTTCAACGCCCACAGAAATCAAAACAACATTACAGTAGTCCAATGGAACTGTAATGGCATCCAAAAAAACTTTCCCGATATAATGAAACAAACAATAGAAGATACAACAGTGTACGCCCTTCAAGAGACACGACAAAACCAGACCAAAAATTCACCTGCCCCGGCTACGCAGTGTACCGTAACGACAGAAAAACCGGGGCAGCAGGAGGAGGAGTCGCAATCCTGGTCCGCAACCAGCTGACTGTTACCAAGCAGGAAAGCTTCAACACTACTAATTGTAAACCATGCTGATCAGGATCGCCGGCTGGAAGCAGGATCTAACGATCATAAATGTGTACTGTCCAGCAGGCATACTGGAAAAGAATGATGTCAAAATCATAAAAAGCAAAATAACAGATCCCAGTTACCTCCTTAAATAAGCTGGCACTGCGGTATCAAATATAGTTTTTATGTGAAACAAGTTTTAGTTGTTGCAGTTTTAAACATAAATAATTGTTGTTTAAACTTTTTGCACCACCACTTGTATAGCACAGTAGGCATTAATAAAATAAGTAGGCCACCTCTATTTCCCAGCTATTTTCCTGATACTATTTTAGGCTTGGTTAAAATGGTAGGTTGCCTTTTGTACAGCAAACTAAAGTCCTTTCTGCTCTAGACCTGGCACTTGGATTGGATTAGCTTTTTACCCCACCAGGACATCACACAAGCGATAAACACCCGATGACACAAAGTGCCACCATGCGGATGAGGATCACCGTGGAGAGGTCCCAGAAACCGCGTTCAGACATTTGGCCATAATGATGACCTGCCTATATTGCGGCCCCTGGCAAAAGCCAGAGTGGGGCTTCAGATAACAAAAAATAACGTCCTAAGAAGGACGTAAGGAACAAGCATTACCTGGCACTTGGAGAGATGGAGACAGATGATGTGGGGGAGAGAGCAAAAAACCAAGGGAGACAACAGCAGAAAGAGGGACAGGGCTATCCTCCGAACAACGGCCACATATTATGGCAGCCAAAAACACACCCTGAGAGTGCCTCATTAGGTCATGTGTTCTAAACGTTAAAAAACTTGGCTATCCTCCGAATAACGGCCTAAATTATCGAGGCGGAAAATGTTTCCCAACAGGGCCTCAGTCACATGACAGTTGCACACTTCCGGGGACTATAACGCCACCGCTGAATTGTGAACTTTTGGGGACTTCCGCCACCGCCGAGATTGAGATTGGGGCTAAACTAGATGGCTAGGACTCGCGAGCAAATAAAATGAAGGAAGCTGCAGGAGATGCGGTAGCTGCTGCTCGTGAGTCCCAGTTATCTAGTTTAGCCCTAATCCACGCCGCATGAGTTTTTCACACAATGGGGCCCCAGAACCCACACATTTACAAAAAATCTATAAGGGGCAGGCATGGATGAGCTAAGTAACTGGGTGGCTTGTGCCAGGTGATCTCCATGGTAACCATGAAGGCCATACCAAGTCACCCTAAAACGTAACAAGCCATCAGTGGATTATTATTGCAGCAAAAATATACATGCAAGACACAACACCGAGGGGAGGGGCACAGAGCACAAGACAGACCAAAAACAAGACTGGTGAAAGATATCGTCATGGAAACTTTGCAGCAGTACAATGTGTCTATGGTTGATGTAGCATAGAACAGCCAGAAGTAGAACCTTTGTCTCAAAACTTTGTCACCTGCTGAAATAACAGAAAATGGAGGCACAAGTGGAAAAATTGCAGACATTTTGTGAAATATCTTCCCCTTTTCTCTTTTATTTCACTTTTGTCCTTTCTGTACACCTGTTGTTTACCCATGAGGGAGCTTTTGTATTGACAGTAACCATGACATTTCTTGTATTGACAGTAACCATGACATTGTCTTGTATTGACAGTAACCATGACATTGTCTTGTATTGACAGTAACCATGACATTGTCTTGAATTGACAGTAACCATGACATTGTCTTGTATTGACAGTATCCTTGCTATTAACTTGTGTTGACATTAACCATGCCATACTTTTCTATGAATGTCTTAAGATTTCACATGTTCACTGATTAAAAAAATTAACAGAACTGTGGCTGTTTGATGATGCCAAAAGGGGGAACCATTTGAAAACTAAAGCATCACCATGTCGTATGCTTGATGTGATTAAAAAAGATATTGACAGTCACTTACATGGTTATTGTCTATTTCTTTGACACTTTTTAAGTTTTCATTTGAACCCTCTCGATTAATACCATTTATTCTGTTATGTTTCAAACTCTAGATTTATACAGCAATGGCTGGAGCGAGCCACCCTACAGGGAAAAGACATGTTTTTTGGCCAGATCCTCTCTGCTGCCTACTCGCTTATGACGTGTTTGCTAACCGTCGTGTGCTAATTAATATGGGATGACTGCACATAGACATAACCAAGTGTCTCAAGATATGACTTGCGCTCAAACTCCAAACTGTTGTACACAACTCACGAGCATACTGTCAGGAAAACATTTATTGTCTGTCATACATTTGTTCACATGAACATTTTGGTACAAGAACAAGAAAAGGTATGAAGCAACGTAACACATGCCCTTACGTTGGCTACAATGGAAATAACATCATTACGCTTCATACCCACCAAAATATTTCTAGGGGCAGTCCGTGAGACAGCTTATAACTTGCTCACCACTTGAGTGCCTAGGTCGGTGGCTTACTTCGTCAGGGCAGGCTGTCAGAATGAACAGGCTCCACCTCACTTACACAGCTGACCTCAATTGATATAATCTAACAGGCACTTTAACCTCGGCTGACTGAGAACCCATAATTCTTAGACACAGCAATGTTTGCACACAGCAAAATCAGTAACGTTGAGAAATTCGACGATGACCGGCAGGCCAGGAATCCGGGTAAACGATTTCATTCAAAACACTGCGACTGTTTTGCCATTCTTCTAACCACTGTGTAATACATAGACGTAGATAACAGCAGAAGTATCCATATAAAATTCAAAATTCTTTGTTCCATGCTCCCATGTTGAATGAATCTATGATACTAATATCATAACATTGTCCAACGTTCTGAAGAGGATAAAACAACCAAACAGTCTACAGCCGAGCACCCTGGGAATCCGACTCAGCAGTCCTAGTGAATGACCTTCCAAAACCACTCTCGACTGCCTCACCGTCCTCCTCAGTCACGGATTATAATGAAGATGACTTCTCTCCAACGTAGAAAGGCTTGGCTTGGAATCCATTGTTGTCACGAACACATATGAACAATGACTAATTCTCTCCAACGCATAACATGGCTCCTGGCCTTTAAACGGTGGAATGCGCTAGACAAGAATTCAGTTTCTCTTAACCAGACGCTACACATTTGCGAACGAAACTGAAATTGGTGGCAGACATAACTGGTCTTCATTGTCACACTTTCCAGGGGGGGGGGGGGGTAGGGCTTAGCTTGGCTCCCATGTTAGAAAGCGAAATGCACAGACACAAAGCTTGGCCTCCATGTTATGAAGTGAATGTTCTAATGTATCACCTACTAGGGTGACGCCTTGACTTGACACGAGTCCACAACATTAACACCTTCAACGTACAGGCCCCCTCCTGGAGTTACCAGTAGTCTTTGAAAAACGTCTGGTTATGTGCCCACACTTTGGTTCACTAGTAACCAATGCAAAATAGCTAACTAGAAGTTGGCTATGCCCACAGCACTACACCTCCCGACCCAGTCGCAATCAGCCTCCAGTGTGATCAGGAACATATCGATCGCAGTGGTATCATAAAGAGATGTTGGGCTCTCAACGCCTTGTCTCCATTAAATACTCAACTAGAGCGTTTCGAAATATACACAAAATTTCAAAGAGTTTTGAATGCCTGATCAGAAGCAGCATTGGCACAAAGTTTGACATGACAAGTAGACCAACATGGACAGATCAAACAAGTAGACCAACATGGACAGATCAAACAGGTACACCACCATGGACAGATCAAACAAGTAGACCACCATGGACAGATCAAACAAGAGACCACTATGGACAGATCAAACAAGTAGACCACCATGGACAGATCAAACAAGTAGACCACCATGGACAGATCAAACAAGTAGACCACCATGGACAGATCAAACAAGTAGACCAACATGGACAGATCAAACAGGTACACCACTATGGACAGATCAAACAAGTAGACCAACATGGACAGATCAAACAAGTAGACCAACATGGACAGATCAAACAGGTACACCACTATGGACAGATCAAACAAGTAGACCAACATGGACAGATCAAACAAGTAGACCAACATGGACAGATCAAACAGGTACACCACCATGGACAGATCAAACAAGTAGACCACCATGGGCAGATCAAACAAGTAGACCAACATGGACAGATCAAACAAGTAGACCAACATGGACAGATCAAACAGGTACACCACCATGGACAGATCAAACAAGTAGACCACCATGGACAGATCAAACAAGTAGACCACTATGGACAGATCAAACAAGTAGACCACCATGGACAGATCAAACAAGTAGACCACAATGGACAGATCAAACAAGTCGACCATCATGGACAGATCAAACAAGTAGACCACCATGGACAGATAAAACAAATAGACCACCATGGACAGATCAAACAAGTAGACCACCATGGACAGATCAAACAAGTAGACCACCATGGACAGATCAAACAAGAGACCACTACAGACAGATCAAACAAATAGACCACCATGGACAGATCAAACAAGTAGACCACCATGGACAGATCAAACAAGAGACCACTACAGACAGATCAAACAAATAGACCACCATGGACAGATCAAACAAGAGACCACTACAGACAGATCAAACAAATAGACCGCCATGGACAGATCAAACAAGTAGACCACCATGGACAGATCAAACAGGTAGACCAACATGGACAGATCAAACAAGAGACCACTACAGACAGATCAAACAAATAGACCGCCATGGACAGATCAAACAGGTACACCACCATGGACAGATCAAACAAGTAGACCACCATGGGCAGATCAAACAAGTAGACCAACATGGACAGATCAAACAAGTAGACCAACATGGACAGATCAAACAGGTACACCACTATGGACAGATCAAACAAGTAGACCAACATGGACAGATCAAACAAGTAGACCAACATGGACAGATCAAACAGGTACACCACCATGGACAGATCAAACAAGTAGACCACCATGGGCAGATCAAACAAGTAGACCAACATGGACAGATCAAACAAGTAGACCAACATGGACAGATCAAACAGGTACACCACCATGGACAGATCAAACAAGTAGACCACCATGGACAGATCAAACAAGTAGACCACTATGGACAGATCAAACAAGTAGACCACCATGGACAGATCAAACAAGTAGACCACAATGGACAGATCAAACAAGTCGACCATCATGGACAGATCAAACAAGTAGACCACCATGGACAGATAAAACAAATAGACCACCATGGACAGATCAAACAAGTAGACCACCATGGACAGATCAAACAAGTAGACCACCATGGACAGATCAAACAAGAGACCACTACAGACAGATCAAACAAATAGACCACCATGGACAGATCAAACAAGTAGACCACCATGGACAGATCAAACAAGAGACCACTACAGACAAAAAGGACAGATCAAACAAATAGACCACCATGGACAGATCAAACAAGAGACCACTACAGACAGATCAAACAAATAGACCGCCATGGACAGATCAAACAAGTAGACCACCATGGACAGATCAAACAGGTAGACCAACATGGACAGATCAAACAAGAGACCACTACAGACAGATCAAACAAATAGACCGCCATGGACAGATCAAACAGGTACACCACCATGGACAGATCAAACAAGTAGACCAACATGGACAGATCAAACAAGTAGACCAACATGGACAGATCAAACAGGTACACCACTATGGACAGATCAAACAAGTAGACCAACATGGACAGATCAAACAAGTAGACCAACATGGACAGATCAAACAGGTACACCACCATGGACAGATCAAACAAGTAGACCACCATGGGCAGATCAAACAAGTAGACCAACATGGACAGATCAAACAAGTAGACCAACATGGACAGATCAAACAGGTACACCACCATGGACAGATCAAACAAGTAGACCACCATGGACAGATCAAACAAGTAGACCACTATGGACAGATCAAACAAGTAGACCACCATGGACAGATCAAACAAGTAGACCACAATGGACAGATCAAACAAGTCGACCATCATGGACAGATCAAACAAGTAGACCACCATGGACAGATAAAACAAATAGACCACCATGGACAGATCAAACAAGTAGACCACCATGGACAGATCAAACAAGTAGACCACCATGGACAGATCAAACAAGAGACCACTACAGACAGATCAAACAAATAGACCACCATGGACAGATCAAACAAGTAGACCACCATGGACAGATCAAACAAGAGACCACTACAGACAGATCAAACAAATAGACCACCATGGACAGATCAAACAAGAGACCACTACAGACAGATCAAACAAATAGACCGCCATGGACAGATCAAACAAGTAGACCACCATGGACAGATCAAACAGGTAGACCAACATGGACAGATCAAACAAGAGACCACTACAGACAGATCAAACAAATAGACCGCCATGGACAGATCAAACAGGTACACCACCATGGACAGATAAAACAAATAGACCACCGTGGACAGATCAAACAAGTAGACCACTACGGACAGATCAAACAAATAGACCACTATGGACAGATCAAACAAGTAGACCATCATGGACAGATCAAACAAATAGACCACCATGGACAGATCAAACAAGTAGACCATTATGGACAGATCAAACAAGTAGACCATCATGGACAGATCAAACAGGTACACCACTATGGACAGATCAAACAAGTAGACCATCATGGACAGATCAAACAAATAGACCACCATGGACAGATCAAACAAGTAGACCACTATGGACAGATCAAACAAATAGACCACTATGGACAGATCAAACAGGTAGACCATCATGGACAGCTCAAACAAGTAGACCATCATGGACAGATCAAACAAGTAGACCATCATGGACAGATCAAACAGGTAGACCACCATGGACAGATCAAACAAGTAGACCACTATGGACAGATCAAACAAGTAGACCATCATGGACAGATCAAACAAATAGACCACCATGGACAGATCAAACAAGTAGACCAATATGGACAGATCAAACAAGTAGACCACCATGGACAGATCAAACAAGTAGACCATCATGGACAGATCAAACAAGTAGACTATCATGGACAGATCAAACAAATAGACCACTATGGACAGATCAAACAGGTAGACCATCATGGACAGCTCAAACAAGTAGACCATCATGGACAGATCAAACAGGTAGGCCATCATGGACAGATCAAACAGGTAGACCACCATGGACAGATCAAACAAGTAGACCATCATGGACAGATCAAACAAGTAGACCATCATGGACAGCTCAAACAAGTAGACCATCATGGACAGATCAAACAAGTAGACCACCATGGACAGATCAAACAAATAGACCACTATGGACAGATCAAACAAATAGACCACTATGGACAGATCAAACAAGTAGACCAATATGGACAGATCAAACAAGTAGACCACCATGGACAGATCAAACAGGTACACCACTATGGACAGATAAAACAAATAGACCACTATGGACAGATCAAACAAGTAGACCACTATGGACAGATCAAACAAGTAGACCAATATGGACAGATCAAACAAATAGACCACTATGGACAGATCAAACAAATAGACCACTATGGACAGATACAACAAATAAACCACGATGGCCAGATCAAACAAATAGACCACTATGGACAAATCAAACAAACAGATCAGTAGAGTGCTGATTGTGTTTGTTAGGTAATTATGATGTGTAGTTAAACTGTCCAGTTGTGTAGACTGGTGAGTAGTTTAGCAGTTGTGTAAGTGTGAGTGGTTAAGCTGTCCAGCTGTGTAAGTGTGATGTGTGGTTAAGCTGTCCAGTTGTGTAGACTGGTGAGTGGTTGAGCTGTCCAGTTGTGTAAGTGTGATGTGTGGTTAAGCTATCCAGTTGTGTATGTGTGGTGAGTGGTTAAGCTCTCCAGCTGTGTAAGTGTGGTGAGTGGTTAAGCTGTCCAGCTGTGTAAGTGAGATGTGTGGTAAAGCCGTTCAGTTGTGTAGGCTGGTGAGTGGTTAAGCTGTCCAGTTGTGTAGACTGGTGAGTTGTTGAGCTGTCCATTTGTTTAGACTAGTGAGTGGTTGAGCTGTCCAGTTGGGTAAGTGTAATGTGTGGTTAAGCTGTCCAGATGTGTAAGTGTGGTTAGTAGTTAAGCTGTCCAGTTGTGTATGTGTGATGTGTGGTTAAGCTGTCCAGTTGTGTAAGTGTTTTGAGTGGTTAAGCTGTCCAGAAGTGTAGACTGGTGAGTGGTTAAGCTGTCCAGAAGTGTAGACTGGTGAGTAGTTAGGCTGTCCAGTTGTGTATGTGTAGTTAAGCTGTTGAGTTGTGTATATGTGGTGAGTTGTTTAGCTGTCCAGAAGTATAGACTGGTGAGTGGTTGAGCTATCCAGTTGTGTAAGTGTGGTGAGTGGTTAAGCTGTCCAGTTGTGTAAGTGTGATGTGAAGTTAAGCTGTCCAGTTGTGTAAGTGTGATGTGTGGTTAAGCTGTCCAATTGTGTAAGTGTGGTGAGTGGTTTAGCTGTCCAGTTGTGTAAGTGTGATGTGTGATTAAGCTGTCCAGTTGTGTAAGTATGGTGAGTAGTTAAGCTGTCCAGTTGTGTAAGTGTGGTGAGTGGTTAAGCTGTCCAGAAGTGTAGACTGGTGAGTGGTTAAGCTGTCCAGAAGCGTAGACTGATGAGTAGTTAGGCTGTCCAGCTGTGTATGTGTGGTTTTTAGTTAAGCTGTTGAGTTGTGTATGTGTGGTGAGTGGTATAGCTGTCCGGAAGTATAGACTGGTGAGTGGTTGAGCTGTCCAGTTGTGTAAGTGTGGTAAGTGGTTATGCTGTCTCCATTTACCTTTTGTGTAAGGATATTTAAAAAAAAAACATTCCAAAATCTCAACCCAAGGCGTTATATAAAAACACAAATATTGGGGGAAAACCCAAGTATTGGCAGCCCTGATAGCAAGTGCGCGAGTTAAATAAGGGAGATAACGCTTTTTATGCAACTACCGGAAATTGATTTAGGGAGCCATGTTGGCGCAGTCGAAAAGAGGCTCGCTTTCAAATCCAGCTGCGACTCGCTGCAGCCCACTGTCGGCGTTCGAAACCGGGCGGCTTCCGGGGTTCACCCAGCCTTTAGGAAATGGGTACCAGAGTGATACTTTAGGAGGAGCGTCGCTGTAGCTACAGAGTTACGTGCGAACGGCGACACAGGTGTGCAATTCTTTTTATCAGCTGTCCGTACTGGTGGCAGAGCTCTAATGCCGTGTGCAGTAATGACGCTGGCTCACATCTCCCGAAGAATTTATCTTTACTGGTACGTTTCATGCGTTTTCTTTTGATTTTGCCGTCTTGAATAATTTAACTATAAATGACATTTGTAAGATGTTATGCTGAACATAAATCTAGTTAATGAATTCTCATTTGTAGTAAGAGATACTAGATACAAAGTTTTGTTGATTTGTATTTATTATACATAAACCGCGATTCTCCGATATCAAGCAGACAACGTAAGAGCCGTAAGCAGTGCTCAGCGGGATTCTAAAATATTAATATTACTATACTATAGCTGGCGAGCCTGACAGCCGGG